ATTATATTTTTATTATATATTTAATTTTTTTATAAAATATTATATGTATTTAATTATTCATTTTGTTTGTTTATAATTTTATAAATATTAATATTATTAATATATTTGTATTGAATTTAAAATTAAATAATTTAATTTTATTTCATTAGAAAAAGTATTTATTTTTATTATATATTATCATCAAAAATTTAGAAAAAGTATATTAATATTGTTTATGAAATATTAAATTATTATCTAAAATTAAATTATGATTTATATTTATGAATTGAATGTTTATTAAAAAGTAATAATAATATATAAACATTAAGATAAAAAAAGAGAAATATAATTATATTAAATGAAGATTAAAAGTAGTTATAACATTGTATAATTAATTGAAAGTATTATTTTAGATAATCAAAAATAATTAATACAGTTAATTGAAAATATTTAATATAAATAATAATTAAATAAATATTTTATTCTAAAATGTTAATAATAAATAAGAAATAATAGTATTATTTGTAATTATATATTATCATTTGTTTTATATTTGATATTTTATTATATTAAATTATATAATATTAATTATTAGTGATATTATCAATTTATAACAATAAGATGAAGTATAATATTGAAAAATATATTAATTAATTTATTTATCTATAATGATTAATTTTATAATTATAACTTCTTTTATCATTAATTAGTTCATAATAATTTTTAAATTAATTAATCTATATATAATTATAATTATTATATTTTGATTTGATATGATAAACAATTTTTAGATTATATTTTATATTTAATAATATTAATTAATAAAATAAAAAAAAAGAAAAATGGTCCCGGCGGGGATCGAACCCGCGACCCTCGCATTTCTCTTTCCTATAAGTACGATGCACTACCGACTGTGCTACGGGGCCTTCTTATTTTTTATTTTTATTTATTATTATTATAACTATCATACTTTTCTTTATTTTATTTATTTAATTTCTAATAATTTCTTCTTAAAACTCTTCTTAAAATTTTTCTTATTACCTTTTTCTTTATATTCCATTCTTTTATTTATTACTTTTTATTATTTTTATTATTATTTCTTTTTCATATTTATGTTTTTTCTTTTATTATCTTTCTTTATATCATTTATTCTTTATTTATTTCTTTTCTTTCAAAAATTATAATTATTCTTTTTTTTATATTTTTTTATATTTTTTTATATTTTTTTATATTTTTTTGTCTTTTCTTCTTTTATTTATTTCTTTTTTCTATTTTATTTATTCTTCTTTTATATTTATTTTCTTTATTTCTTTTTTTTTTATTATTATTAACCTTGATCCAAGATTATTAGAACCAATTTCTATTATCACTTATTTATTTCCTTTTTATCTTCATTTTTTATTCTTTAACTCTTTTTATTTTGTTTCTTTTATTTTCTTTTTTCTTTCTTCTTTTTCTTGCTTTTCTTTTTTATTTCTTCTTATCTAATATTTATTTTGATCTAATACAATCATTCAAACAATTTTGATGATGGTTATAAAGGTGATGATAAAATTTTAGTTGATAGAATATGTGAAATGTCAATTACTCGATTATTTTGAATTAATAAAAGAAATACAATATATCATATTCATCATCAGATGTTCTTTTATTGTAATAATTTAAATATTGTATTAGATAAACAAGAAACAAGAAAAACAACATTTATAATGAATAAATTAATATAAATGAATAGAGTAGAACATTTATATGAAGCAGTTATTTATGTATTACAAAATACAGGTGAAGATAAAACATTCAAACAATTAAAAGATTTAATTAAAACACCAATTTATGGAATGAATTATGAAAAGTTTATGCAATTTTCTTCAATATTATAAACAATAACAAGAAAAACATTTATTAATTATAATAAGATGCATCATTTGCATTAATGAAAGAAGATAAAACATGTAGAGAAATCATCACAAGATTAATACATTTGAAAACAACAATCATTGTAAATATACACATATAGAAATGGTTAAATCAATCTTTCAAAACACAAGTATCAATAATTATTATATTTAAATGTTATTCTAAATATTTCAAATTTATATTTAGACAAATAACAGTGGTTGTAAGTGAGTTAGTTACTTATTGATTATATTTATGAATGAATATGAATCAAGTAATGAAAATAGATAAATTAACAGGAGATGTAAAAGTTAATAAAAAGATTGAATTAATTGATCATTCTTAAATATTTTGATATTATCATAATTATAATCTGGATAGTTTTCTCACTATTTCATGTAATGTTTTGTTTTCAAATATTATATTTCAACTTCTTCATTCATTTTCTGGACATCATGAACATTACTCATATATTTCCAATTCAATTATGAATAACTTTTTCATTGATCAAATGTGCTATTTATCATTATTCATTCAGTGAAATCATATCTATTTATTGTCTCTATAATTTCTTGATTTTATCAAACATATTGCAATGTTTATAATCATTATTCATACTTGAATAGTTACATAAATCAAATTCATGTTTGGTGAATTGTTTAAATTTAATGAATATTTCATAAATATTTTATATATTTTCTAGTTTTGATATTATTTATATTCTCTTCATCAAGAGACAGTTATTTTGTTGTATTTTGTTGATGTATTAATTTGTTTATTTGTTGATTCATTGGATTTGTATCATATTCATATTCTTCATTATCATAAACAACATCTTCTAATGTTTCATCACAACAATTTTTGTTATCGTTCAGAAACACTACTTTTATGTTGTTTTGATTGTTTAATACTCATCTAATAATAACTAGTTCAAGATGTCTTCATTAAATAATCAAAGATATTTAACAACCATAAGAGAAAATACATCTCCAAACATAACAACAGGGAAATGGAGAGTGAATTAACATGGGAATTCATTACTTCTGAAAACTATCCTAAAACAATAAAGTATTGAATTTTGTTTATTTTAATTTGAATGGTCAATTAGATATTAGTGTTAGTTGTTATGGTTCGTTTAATTATGATTCACCTGAAAATGATCAAATGATATGTTTTTCAACATATGGAAATATGATACCAAAACATTTTAATATTAATAAAAATATATCTTCAATAGAAATATAGTTTAAAGATTATAAATGAAATATCATTATGCAACTTGGAATTTGGGATGAATATTTTATCTTAGAACTTAATTTACATTATTAATGCAACCAATTGGTTCAAAGTATTTAATAAAAATAATATTTTAACAACAAGATATTTTAACAATAATACACTTTATCTTGATACAATTAAATCATCAGATGGAATGACAACAATTAATGTTAAAGATATTCTATCAAATAATGAAATTGATGAAATAAAAGAAACAGATTGAAAGATAAAAGAAACAGAACAAAGAATTAATAAAGAAATCAAAGAAAAATATGAAGAAATAAGTAAAATAGAAACATAAATAAATTAGAATATGACAATCAGAATCAATCTAATGCATTACTCATCTTGTTGTTGAATGTAATAATAATGAAATGAAACAAATTTTTTATTCAATTATATGCATTTGAATTAATAGATAAACGATCAAATGTTGAAGTGTATTATTCTAGTTTTCATGCTTATTTATCAAATTATACAATAAATAATTAAAATAGATTATTTAATCCATTATTACTAGCTATGAATCATCAAAAGTATCTAATTGATTTTCATTCATCATTATCATTTTCTACATTATGAAATCAAATAAATATAAATTATGATGAAATAAATAGAAAAACAAACCACTTGAAAGTATTTCAGATAAAAATAAAGATCTAATAAAAGAATAAATAAAACACATTTCCAATGATGTTATAATATTAAAGATATTCATAGAAACAACCATATCCCATTGAATTTCTCAATGTCAGTACCAATGATAACATCATTATTGATTCCATTCTTCATTCTCAAATATTGTATGTTCCATCTTTTGGTGAGGACATCAAGGTAATATTGTTTTCTAAGAAAGATGTATTTGATTTTCCAGATTGTTTTCTATTAACTGTGTAAAATCAGAGTGAAACTGACAAATGTTTGAACCAACTAATTTCTGACAGAATTTGTCATAATACAGTTGTTTAAATGAGTAATTCTTCTGTAATATGTGTGTGATATCAGTGTCATGATAATGTACTTAATATCAATATCTTCACAAAGTATCACTTCATTCATTACCTTCTTGCACATCGAAAGAATAAGAACACTAACAATTAATGGTTAATAAAATTCATCAAATTGTTTCTGTACATTTACTACATATATCTGAGTTATATAATTTCTACTTGAAGATTATCTGTTAGATCTCTTGTCAAAAACAAATTCATTTTCTGTTTATCATAGAAAAACTCATATTCTTCTATTATCTTTCTTGTACAGTTTTTACATATGAGGAAATTATAATGAACTTAAAAATTATTTCATTTGGTTTTTTTTGAACATTAAGATTGTTTTTAATTTCATAAATGGTAGTTATTTCTTGTTTGAATAAACTAACTTTCTTTCCAATATAACCATTCAATAAACTCATACTCTATTTATTGTACTTAATTAAATCTTCAGAATATAGAATCAACAGTCATTGTAACTCATTGACACACTGAATTATTTCATTAATTCTTTTCTGTAATGGTGAGTTTTCATTGTTTATTTATCTTTGTAAATTTAATAATAACTAGAAAATAGGAAATGTAATTTGTGTTTGTTGGATGTGTTTATGTTTCATTCATTAAATGAACCAAACACTATTTAAAACTTCTTATTATTTGTTTTGGTGATCCAGAAGGTCATAACAATCTGGTAATGTTGGGGATATAACGAACATTACCAAAATCAACAATTGTTTCTTCTATAATTATCATTTTATTTCAAAATACCATGTTTCTTCAATCATAAATGGCTTTTCTAATGTAATCTCTAACACAACCTAATACTCAAACAAATGATCATGAATGAAATACTTTTCTTTAATGTAATTGTATGAAATAGAACTAGTAGTATAATTTAAACATTCCATATTTAAACATGACTTTATCATATCTCTAAATTGAAGAAATCTCTCTAGAAGAAATTGTACTTCTTTTTAACAATAATAAACATAGTATTTTCTGATGTCAAAAAGAGTTAAATCAATAAAATAATGAGTATTTATTAAATTATCATTAAAATGAGTATTTTCTCTTCTAATCATAACAGATTTCATTTTGTAAACAATTATCAATAACACCAACAGATAGTGTTTCTTCACAAGAGTATGTGTATGGAAACTTATTTTCTCATACTGTCTATCAAGATTGAAGAAGTTCTTAAATTAGTAATACTTGTTGGAATAAGTGTCAAAGTATCTTTAAAATGAATTAATTCATTATTCATTGTTTTTACTATTAATAAATAAATCATTTCATCATTTTACATATTCAATATCTAACTAAAATCGTCTATTATAATCAAGATTGTGAAAATAACATTTGTTTTTTTTTGAAATGTTTAAAGTGTTTTATAAATTCATCTACACAATTTGATCCATAATATTCATTAGTTATTCCTCTTTTATCAATTGAATCTATACAACATGATTGATGAAATTCTCAATTCAAAAACACTCAAAATCATCAAATAATATCTTGATGATGATTTTTCTCTTTGAAATTTCTTTTCTTGAACTAATACTTTCTTTAAAATATGTATTTTTCAATACATAAAGAGATGTGAATTGATTGCACATATTATACTTTTTTACTCTAACAATCAACTCAATTTCAAATAAACATTTTAATTTCAACTTTATGTTCATTCTTCATATTCGTTTTTCATCTTTTTTTAATTTATTTTTATTCTTCTTTCTTTTCTTATTGTATGTTTAACTATGACATTTATTACATTCTCTTTCTATATTATTTATAGTATCTAGAATATGTTCTGTATTCTCTCTTTCTATTTACTTATTTTCTTATTTTCATTTTCTGTTGTTATAATTTAAATTCTATATCTATTCTTTGTATTTAATTTAGTATAATCTCTAATCATTTCTGTTATTTCTTATTTATTTCTTATATTGATATATAATTGATATGTTATATAAATTAGATTCTATTTTTATCATTTTCTATATTCATTATCACATTCATACCAATAAACTAATTAATTCATTAACATCTAAAAGAATAAGTATTGATAATTTAAAAGAAATTACAGAAACATATGAGTTAATAATATGATTCAATACAAAAATACAATTCTTAGATTAACAATATTTGATTCATTAATTATCTCATCTCTGCATGTTAATTAATTTTCTTTATTTTATTACTTCATGTTATTTAACCATTGTTATCAATACTAAAATACAACACCATATTATTATAACACAAACACAAAGTGAAACAATAAATCAACAACAATTTGAAAAAATTTGATATTCATTCACTTCTTATTCAGATGAATTATGAAATCAAAATGAAAAGGATATTGAACTAATACAAATTGATGATATTTGATTTTTAACTGAAATTAGAATTGATGAATAATGATATAATAAAATGATAAACAGAAATGATGAAATAATCAATATAAAATAAATAACAATCATTTGAATGATATTATTAATAAATGAACACAAATATAATAATTTAATTCATTCTATTTCATCTACTCATATTTAATATATTTGAAAATCATAAGACATTAAAAATGAAAAAGATAAAAGAAATAAGAAATATAAAATGAATAACACATACAAATAACTAACAAAACACAAAATATTATTAAAATGAAAATAAACAAGAACAAGAAAGAACATAATAATGAAATAACTAAAGAAGAATGAAGATATAAATAAAATAAGAAATAGATAATAAGAAAGAATAAACTATGAAGAAAACTAAATAAAAAGAAAATGAAATAAAAAAAAACACATTAAAACTATATTTTGAACAAAACAAATTTAAAGAGTATCATCAGAAAACACAATAAAGAATAAGAAAATGAATATTGTATAAATTAAAGTATGACAAAATGATGATATTAATAATATCGAATAAACAGAGAGTACGTTGTAAAAGAATTGTTCACATATACTGAGTACATGAAATCAGTTCATATCATGAGAATTTTTTTATCACAATATAATAAAAAGCAAGAAAAAGAAGAAAGAAAAAAGAAAAAAGAAAAAAGAAAATAAAAGAAACAAAATAAAAAGAGTTAAAGAATAAAAAATGAAGATAAAAAGGAAATAAATAAGTGATAATAGAAATTGGTTCTAATAATCTTGGATCAAGGTTAATAATAATAAAAAAAAAGAAATAAAGAAAATAAATATAAAAGAAGAATAAATAAAATAGAAAAAAGAAATAAATAAAAGAAGAAAAGACAAAAAAATATAAAAAAATATAAAAAAATATAAAAAAATATAAAAAAAAGAATAATTATAATTTTTGAAAGAAAAGAAATAAATAAAGAATAAATGATATAAAGAAAGATAATAAAAGAAAAAACATAAATATGAAAAAGAAATAATAATAAAAATAATAAAAAGTAATAAATAAAAGAATGGAATATAAAGAAAAAGGTAATAAGAAAAATTTTAAGAAGAAATTATTAGAAATTAAATAAATAAAATAAAGAAAAGTATGATAGTTATAATAATAATAAATAAAAATAAAAAATAAGAAGGCCCCGTAGCACAGTCGGTAGTGCATCGTACTTATAGAAAAGAGAAATGCGAGGGTCGCGGGTTCGATCCCCGCCGGGACCATTTTTCTTTTTTTTTATTTTATTAATTAATATTAATAAGTATAAAATATAATCTAAAAATTGTTTATCATATCAAATCAAAATATAATAATTATAATTATATATAGATTAATTAATTTAAAAATTATTATGAACTAATTAATGATAAAAGAAGTTATAATTATAAAATTAATCATTATAGTTAAATAAATTAATTAATATATTTTTTAATATTATACTTCATCTTATTGTTATAAATTGATAACATCACTATTAATTAATATTATATAATTTAATATAATAAAATATCAAATATAAAACAAATGATAATATATAATTACAAATAATACTATTATTTCTTATTTATTATTAACATTTTAGAATAAAATATTTATTTAATTATTATTTATATTAAATATTTTCAATTAACTGTATTAATTATTTTTGATTATCTAAAAATAATACTTTCAATTAATTATACAATGTTATAACTACTTTTAATCTTCATTTAATATAATTATATTTCTCTTTTTTTATCTTAATGTTTATATATTATTATTACTTTTTAATAAACATTCAATTCATAAATATAAATCATAATTTAATTTTAGATAATAATTTAATATTTCATAAACAATATTAATATACTTTTTCTAAATTTTTGATGATAATATATAATAAAAATAAATACTTTTTCTAATGAAATAAAATTAAATTATTTAATTTTAAATTCAATACAAATATATTAATAATATTAATATTTATAAAATTATAAACAAACAAAATGAATAATTAAATACATATAATA